TTCTGGATAAATAAGTAGATGCAGCTCGTTTGTTTCTGACAAGCAGTGGAATCTATATCTGAATTCTCTAACCTACTAGGATATCACGACTCCATTCAAGATTTTGAAAATTTAGAGTATTAGTTTAAAACTGTACAATTAGCCATATTCCACTGACTGACATACAAGTTTAGAAGTTAACAGCAAATCACCCCTTTTCTGAAAGTGCATCATCAAGCTGAACGAAGTTGAAGGAAAACTATACCTCACCTGAGGAGCCTCTGCTGATTAAAACCAGAAATTCAGCAGTAAGCCTGATCCCCTTCAACTGAGTGAAGGCCAGCTGAATCCTGTGGGCTTATCAAACCTCACCTGTATCTGTAAAGAGTATTACCGCACCAGTGCTGCTAGCTACAGTACTGCTATTGGCCACAAATGGCTAGTCTTCAGAATTCCAAGCTTTTGATTTGCCTTCTGGATTTTGCAGGGGAGCAGCAGCAGGATTCCCCAGAACAGTCTCCAGTTATGAAGCAAACCAAGTAGTGGCTGAGTCGGTTTAACTCTGCTTCCATCTGAGAACTGACCGAGAACAGGACAGTAGTTGGGGTAAATGAAGTGTTATACTAGCAGCAGATTATTAACTACATATAACCATTTCACCTTTCCCGTACCGGAGGAGTGCTGCAGCCCTGCTTAACCCGCTGCAAGTTGCTATTTTGGCAATCCACAGCAAACATCTGAAAGTATCTACACTTCTTCCCTTCTTTCTACCCATTCGACCCCTAATCAAAACCCCACTACCACACGTTGTGACAAAACAGCTAAAGTTTACCTGATCTAGTCATTTCTGCTGGCACCACAGGTGGAACGATAGGACTGAAAAACTCCCATGATGGCCACAGTATTATGAAGGATTACATCAATACTGAAGGAAAGGAAGACTTTCCCTTGACAGCTTACAGCATAAAGTCCCTCACAAGTGAACTTCATGCACAGCAATGGAAATAAAAAGGTAGGCTAGGGAAGGAATAGACAGATCTAGCAATTTTGTACTGTAATTTCATATTATGCTATTCAGCAATCCCAGCAAGTTAATATTTCCACATTGTGTCCCCCCACAAAAGCCTCTATTCCCTCATCCTTCCTATACCTCAGGCAGTGTTACATTTTCTTGGATACTGATGACAGTATAAAAGAGAGCTACAAATCCGGAGAGAAGCAAGAATTTCCACCATTAGCAGAATTTTTTGACAATGAGAAAAGCAGCAGATGCAGTAGCCCTTCTTTGCTCTGCTAGTGTTCTGGCACGCAAGTTACACAGGCAGCTTCCTGTTTATCCCTAGATTATGGACAACTTCAGGGCTGTTTAACCCATTCTGCGTATAAAATTCATCAGCCAAAATGCTTTTGGCACACATCTTGCCTGAAACTACACTTTGTGTCCTTTGTTATTAATAAGAATACGGAAAATATACACAAACTCCCTCACGTAACAATTTCAGTTCTATGTAAAGTCTATCACAAGTACTTACAGCATTATGTGGATTACTTCATCCTTAACAAAAAACTTTTTTTTTTTCCTAATAATTAAGTTCACAGTGTATTTTCCCCAGAAGAGACTGTAACAAACTAAAACCACAGATGAAAATCTAAATTCTGGCTTCCACCTCCTCACTGGAGTGAGTGTTATATCTTAACTAATCTACAAATCAATAAAATTGTTTCCTCATAAGACAAAGTGAATTGGCCCCAAATACGTTAAAAATCAAGTTCCATATTTCTAGATTAGCAAACTAGATCTGCAGAGACCAGTGGGAGTTTTGGCAAATGCTCTGTTACTTTAATAAAGACTAAAAATCCAGTCTAATTTATTTAAATATGAGAGACTCTGGCTTTGGCAGCCCACTAGCAGGACACAGCTCACTCTGAAGAGTCCTCTTCTCCGAGAGTTTCCTGGGAAAAAACTGCAGTGGCAGAAGAGTGCTTTAGGCCATTTTCTTTCCCTCCAAGCATACCCTTCTCACCATGTTTTGGGTGCATCTCTGATCAAGCAGAGGAGGAAAGCTGATGACCGTCCCAGAAAAATGGCAGCTGAAAGCAGACTTATCACCTGCATTCATTTAAGTTACAGCTTGCTCAGCCCAAGTCTGAGGCTCTAAATACCAGTCAACAGCATTTACGCTGTGAGGAGCAGCCTGTCTCTTACCTTCCCCTTTCAGAGTCCTCTGGGAGGAGCGGGCTGCAGGCAGGAAGCATGTGCCTATTTTACAAAATGCACCACACCTAGTAGGTGCAAATGCTTTAAATTCAGTGCTTAAGGGAACAACTGCATGGTATACGTGGTGTATGTCCAGCTGTACAATAAGGGTGTTGCACACGTTCCCCTATGCATGGAAAAAGTGGTCTGACCTATTGATCTGAGAATTTCAGCACTGTAGTTGCAAGATATGATGTTTAACCATCACCATTCAGCTTTTTAATTGGAAAGATTTACTTTAATCAGATTAGGACCAGAAAAAGGTAGCTCTTGTCCATCAGATGTAAGCGTACAAGCTTCCACCAATTCATGTGAGGCCTTCAAGACGACCCAGAGGTTATACCATAAGGCACCCTTTCCCCTCCCCTTTCATCATTCAAAAAAAGACTGTAGAATTCTGATTTGTCAAAGGTTATTAAGTCTTTCACACTGGTGCTACACCTGGAGAAATACAAATTACTTGCCAAGAAGCATTACCAATTAAATTCTGCTATAGCTATTTCATATTTGGCATTAGAAAGAACAATGCCGCAACACAGCTAAAAATGTGTGTCCTTAAATGTGTGAACTACAGACTATTATCCCATACACACACAGTAGCCCCCAACAAGCTCACAGCAAGCACTTTGCCTTGTGGTTAAGAGTTAGGAAGAAGGCAGGATAGCATCTAGACTGGAGATCACCTGAGTTTCCATGACCTGATAGCTGCTACCACCCCAAGCAATAGCTCATCAACACTTTTATACATAAGCTGAGAAAATTCGGAGATCAAAGTCTTAATGAGAATAGCTAAAAATAAGAAAAAGGCACTATTTCTGCTATTAGAAAGCAGCTGTTAAAATTTATAAGAGGAAAATTCCTTACTCAAGTCATGTGCTCCTGCATTTATCAGGGTCAATGCTTGTATCCTTAGTGATATTTACTTCCTCTCTCTACTCCTGTCAGCCTTGTACAACCTTTCCAGGCATGATCCTATTTCACTTTTCTACCCAAGTGAAAGACTTCACCTAAATTGTGCATCCATATAGAATTTTTATTGATACAAGCTATACCACTCTACCAACATCATTCCTTTTATATTCACACTCTGAGAATAAATGTCTGTAGAGAGAAATGTTTTGATGTAACTCCCTTTCGAAAACAAGACCAACTCAACCTGCAGAAGTTCTTAAACCACAAAATTGAGGTAGAAGCTGAAAGACAAAGAATCCTGCAAAACCAGTATGAGGACAGCTGCTTGGCGAGGGAAGCCAACTTTGTCCATATTAGTTCACAATGAAAAAAAAAGGCATGAACTGAAGTTAAAATGACAGAAATTTTATGGCAAAAAAAAAACAAGAAACATGTTTTGTAAGAGCAAAATAACTGTTAATGTCTTGTATTTCTTTTCCTCTATCCAGTAAATGCTGAAGTTAGTAAGTAACTTTCTAGCATCAAACTAAGACCTAGACATAAAGAGTTTGACAAGGATAAGAGAAGATAGTTTAGGCAACTTCCTAACTCCCTTCCAGTTAAAGTTTATCAAACCTAAATTTAATAGCAGACTGTACAACAGCTGCCAACAAGGGCTCTGGCAAACTTTACAAATGTGAGCGAGCTCTAGAGCCACCAGCATCAGCATGCAAATTCTGATTCAAGCTTAAAAATAAAAATCAATTCAAACCATTAATGTTTACAATTTAAGAATAATAAACCCCCCTGAAACCATACTTTGGTTACTATTGTAATGGATGTCTAAACATTTTAGAATTTTTTTAAGCCAGTTATAATTAGCTGCAAATGAGATTGCTTTTTCTCTCTACAGTACAAACCCGAGGAGAATTTTTAGTGATATGCACTTCAAGATATTCCAAGAAATTCACCAGTAAGGGAAGAGTCAAGTGTATTTTAAATAGCTGAGGCTACTGCACTGTAAAACAAGTACCACCTGTTTTCCCTTCTTTTCACTTTTTTTGAAATTATCCTTTCTACGCTTACACTTTTAACTGGAAACACGTAAACATAAAAGTGGGAGGGGGAAGGGAGAAACATTTACTTGAGGTGCTCAAATTTTTTTTTCTGATTATTATGATAAAAAAGAAAATTACTTTCAAAATCTGAAAGATTGAAAAAGACTTCAACAGAAGCTTAATCTCTCATGCATGTGAAACTCTGGTATCAGACAGTGAGAATGTCCACTTTAGAACCCAGTCTAACCACATGTCATACTGCAAACTTATTCTCTTCTTTTCATTTGTTTAAAATCCTGTGCAAATCTGGAAGCACATTATGCAGCCAAACTGATTATCCAGGTGTCTAAGAAGTCATATAAAACTCTTAAGCATTGAGAAAAAAAGCTGCCTTGACCACAATCTCTAGTCAGCCACTGAAAACTGAGATGGGTAGAAAAAACCAAACTGTAAACCAGGCAGTGCCCACCATGGCTTCTTCCAGTATTAGCAAGCCAGTGCTAAATATAATGATGTGAACTTGACACAACAATCCGAGTTAATCTGTAGTGGTGAGGCCAGGCAGGCTTCCAAAAAATCACTTACCTTAACACTGAAGATTTAGCCCCTTTTTAAATCACATTAGATTGTACGTATGAAGAAGAATGTTAATTATGCAAAATAATTTAATTCAGCTTTACTAACATTGCTGTTAACTTTGTTCTGCATCTTTTCTTACCATCGTATGTTCTGACTATTAAAAAAAAGAGTGGCATGCCATCACCTCTCAAGGGAAAGAAATAGCACAACATAAGACAAGGACAGCCCGATCTTACCTCTGAGGTTTACGAATATCCCAGAGTCCCACACCTTCCTTAGAGTTGGCAGTAGCCAGTAATCTGGGTTCTACTGGATTAAACATCACACTGTGAAAGGCTGATGGGTAGTGTGCCAAGCAGAAGGGCTCTGTTGAAAAAGTTGACATTTCAGACATAAGAACAAACAATGCATACAACTGTTCAATGCAATGAGTTTGGCAGCTTAATATGGAAACAGCATAACAAGATCTGAAGATATGGAGACATGTTCAAACCATTTCTCAAGCTGACACATCCAAAGCAATATAAAAATTGAGGTTTTAAAGTCCACCCACGTGTACATTAACTTTGTCTAAATATGGAAAAGGACGCATACTGGATTTCAAGACACCATTTTGCTTATGGAAGGTTATCAGAGTTTAAAACTAGCCACTTAAAGATCAATTATTTGAATCTTCTTAAGGTTCATAACCAGACAGTCATCTAATAAGGACTACTCATGGAGGGACTTCTGAAAGTTGCCTAGCAATATATACCTGGAAGCTTCCACAGCCACTGATGATCACCCAAACTGTAAATGTAGCAGCAATTGCTTATATGGAAGAATAATATTATTACAAAACGTGAAATAAGTTTGTATGGAACTCAGCTCAAAGCAAGCTGCCAACCCTGGGGAAAAGAGGCCTGCTACCTCTTAAGTGCTGTACAAGCAGACAAGAAGGGTGTTCCTCTTGCATAAAAGTGTTAACAGTTGGCTTTTGCTGTTCACACACAGAGTTAAAAACATGCTCATCCAGACTCTCTCCCTCTCATCTTGATTAGTGTAACAAGACTGTGTTTGGCCTGCTACTCTGCCCTATTCATTCTGTCAAAATGCTGCCTCCATGAAGAATGGGAAAAAGCCTTGCCTCTGTCATCCTTCTCTGTATCTTTCCGCTAGCTTTATGGCTTTAGGCACAGTCTAATTCTCTTTGTTGTGTGTATCTTTTGTGGCATGCTGCCACTCTTTCACTCAACTAAGAAACAAGAATCAATGCCTGTTTTGAGCCAGGGATTATGCCAGACTTTTCCATTCACTGTTTCCTTTGATGCAACCACTGTGTTGCTCACATGCTTGGGAGACTCTCTTACTGCCCTTATTTGAGCCACTGTGGGCAGGCACATTTAGCCCCACAAGCACCTCCAAAGGTACTTAATTTTCTTTCCTCGTATCCCTCATTAAGACATATAAAACTGAGTTAAACAGATAACCCTCCCAAATTCCCAATACCTTCTGAAACTACTGCCCATCAAGCAACTGAGACAGAATTAATGTTTACTTATCCTGCCCCATCTGTATCCTCCTCTTACGCTCTATTCCAAGCTTTTTGACACAGGGACTTTCCTTTTTAGTGTTCATTTAGCAATGATCAAAACAAAAGTCTCTGACCATAGCTGAAGCTCCCTGGTGCTATTAATTGTCACAGGAGGGAGAAGTAAAGGGAAGAACAGGAGCAAACTTTTGTTCTGTCAGTCTGCCCCAAGCCTTTAGAGATTGCTGTTGGTCTGCTGGCAGCTCCAAATAAGGTTTAACACCAAAACTGACCTTCTACATTTCCATCATCAAATCAGATCCCTGCTGGGACATAAAAGACTGTGTTATTAAAATGGCAGCCCCCACTGAGAAGCAATGGCCTGCATTAGCTGAGTAGAGAGACAAACAACATCAGATTGCCAAATAAAGGAATTGTTTTTTAAAATAAACTTTTAATTTGTGTACATCTGTTTAGTCAAATCATTGTCACTAATTACTGGTGTTTTCCTCCACACCTTTATTATGAACAGCCTGGCCTGGTACCACGGTTTTCTTCTAAGATATCAAAAGTTGCCTTTCAGCCTGTCAAATTAAAGAGAGATTACAGGAGCTAAACTAATGAGGCACTAAGTCACTTTAATGAAAAGTAGGGGGGTTACTTTTTTCTTGTTCTTTATGCTCATTCACCATTGTAGCTCTTATACACTGGAGTATGAAAATGTTTCTCAAGGGAGAAGCTCAACACCACCTCTAACAAAAATTAAAAGCGGGTTTATAAAAATTACTGCATAAATCACTCAGCAGTGAAAGACAGGGAGAAACAGAAAGATAATGAAACTCCTTTTCCAGCTTCTTTTAATGCACTATTTTAAACTAGGAGGTTATTTGCAAGATTTTAATGAGCTGGCCACTCAGGGTAACTAACTATACTTAGCGCTGGCAGGCATAGCGCCTATTCCCACGACAATACCATGCAGACAAGGGGATTACCCCAGTGACAAGCATTATATTGTAGTAAACATTGGCAGGGCTCACATATAAATGCTGACTCAGGACTCCTATATAAGCATGCAAAAGCCTTTTATTTAAAATTCAGAGAACCTAAGACACTACTCCAAAAAAGGCCCAAATGTACCACAGCCAACACTTCTAACCTCCATTTTCACTGGTGCAGCCTTCTCATTCAAAGTCTCAGCAACAGTAAAAGCAGTAGCAAGGTTTAACTACAACAAAGAAGGACAAACCTCATTTCATACAATTTCAGAAACTCCCATCAGATTGGACATTAGCTTACGATACTGAGCAGCTTCATAAAGATGCATTTAAGCATCCATTCCCACCGACTGTTGACATCCACTGTCAGCAACAGGTAGTTCTCCTAACAGAGACAGATCTTTACGGTGTAGAGTTCAGGAGAAGGCAATAAAGGAGCATTTCGCCATTTCTAATTTGGAAGCCATATTCAGTGTCTGCTCTCATCACTTGGATATTATGAAAACAGAAAAATAGGAATGAAGCGACACTTGGATTTACCAAAGGTAAATAAGTCACATCAGACTAATTTGATCTCTCTCTTTGATAAAGTAATGGACCTTTTATATAGGGGAAAAGTGGTAGATCTAATGAGGACTAAATTCACATGTGGTATAGTATCAAGTTAGCTACAGGCAGTTGGGATTAGCAACGGGAGTTGCATGGAGTAAGAAACGGCCTGAAGGGAAGACAACAGTTCACTGTGCTAGTAAGGGACTTCTGAGCAAGAGGGAGGTTATTAATGAGCTCCTCAGAGATGGGACATTATAGATATTTTTATTAAAGTCTATGATATACATATACTGAGTGTGTGCACCATTTTTCAGAATGTTTTAATAAAATTACCAGATGGAAAAGAGATAAGAGGTATCACGACTGCACAAGAGAATCAGAATTCACAGTAAGAATCAGACTACTGAAAATTGAATGCAGTGCTAGTATATTTAATTTTTATTTATACAAAGGCAATATGCCTGGGGTAGGGAGGGCATCAATAAGCAATTTACTCTGAGTATTCTTGTGGGGCTTATCAAGACAGACCTAATTCTGGTTACTCACATTCAATAAAGCCCTCATGATACTAGTGGCTCTGAAAGACTCCTATGAGACTATAGAGTATGTCTTGCTTCAGCTTTCATTTCCTAGTCAAAAAGGGACAGAATCGCAGTCTAGAAAGTTATCAAATTCACTAGGTATGGAAAAAGCTAATTCAGTTAAACAGCAACTTTGACTCAACAACATACATGTACAAATTGCCACAAAATACATAAGCCGGATTTCAGTGCCATAAACAACTTTCCTGTAAGACCAGCAGAAACTATGAGTTGAGGCAATTGCATTTAATCGGCTTACAAAAAAAGATGAAAGTTTGTCTTAACTATGAAGAAAGGGAAGAAGATTGTGTACTCCTGCAGATTGCTCAGTTTTAAATTCTCGGCGTTGTGTTCTTTAGAATGGGGTAAACTCACAACTTCATTTACTGAAGTATTACTTAAGTATTCATATACTGAAATTCAATTACTGAAGTATTCCTCTCCAAATTTATGTAACTACAGTTCTAAACTGAGATTCTTCAGCCTTAAAACTGCAGCTGTAAAAACACAGATTGCAGTGTTTTGAGAAACTGCAGGTTTGTTACATAAATCAACAGTATTCAGTTCTGTTTTAGAAAACAAAGATTGAAGTAATAATTCAACTTCCCTGTTATCACATAAGGGCTCTAAGTTTCCATACAACCAGAAAACATTATGCATAAGAACAATTCTCAGTGTCACAGGGAAGTACATAAATAGCTTTGGAAAATTATTCAGATCAAAATAACAGCTTTCTAAACCTCCAAAAATTTTTTATCCCAGGCTATGGACAAAACAAAAAAAAAATCCACATTCCTAATTGATTTCAAGTTTAGCAAGACATTTTTATTGAAGAAACATGTCCTCCACTGCTTCTTTACTCAAGTTAAAACCTATTCATACCAAGTTCTATGCCAGCCTGCACTATATGCTCGTACTTTATGAAGTCACTTAAGACAGCAACACTGAACTGTAAAGACCAGGGCTTGCCTACCACTGGCCACGAGAATTATGCCTCGCTTTCACCCTTCTCCAATACTCCCTGTCTCGATTGTCCCAGATAAACATAACTTATGCCCTCCCTGCCTTGCCCAAATTCTTCCTAAATCAATGATCTTTTCCATCTAGAGATCTCACCTCCATGGGAAGACTCTCGGATGTCCCAAATAAGAACCCGGCCATCATCTGATGAACTGGCAAAGATGTTGTCATTTACTGGGCTCACTGAAAGGCCGTACACTGCATCTTCATGGGCAAACACATCCAAGGTCTCAGTGCTGGAAAAAAGACACACAATATTATCATTCTTCCTTCTTTTGCTGGTGTTTTAAAAAGCAAAATAATTACAGCTTTATCTCCCTAGTAATACTTAGTGACAAGGTTTATTTAACTTCATAATAAGACTCTTGTGTTTAATGAGAGTACAAAACAAACAAAAAGCCCATGTAAAGTGACCAAGATGTCATGCTATGAGGAAAAAAAAAAAAAAAACTCAGACCAAAACCCACACATTAAAAACTTCAGAAGCTGCAAGATGCTATGGAAACCATGTTGTATTAGATTAAGCCTGGGAGAAGGTAATGGAAAAGTAAAAGAGGTCTTGGGACCTCTGGACTAAATTTTTACTACCTAATGTAAAAAGAAAAACAAGACAGAAGTTTATTCTTGAATACAGGCTTCTGTATCATCCAAAAGTTCAGTTGAAGCTCACAAAAGAGCAACTTTCCAGCTGGCTTTTTTAATAAGTTGTCTTGGTTCTCTACGATAGACCAGACCTATATTTTTTCCACGTAGAAAAAGCAGCAAAAAAGAACAAAAAAATAAGTCCCCCGAAAGTACCTAGATTTCAGCCATTCTGCAGCTATAAAAAAGAAAAAGCCCATTCTCCATTCTTTTCCCAACTTTTTAGATTATTTAACAAGGAGGAAACAGCAGCACGGAGAGGCTAAAAGCTAAAATACTACAACAGAAGATTCTGGGGTTGTTTTATTTCTTTGGCAAAACCCCTTTATTTCTTTAGGGAATACACTTTGTATACAATCCCCATACCTCATGGGAACTCCACCAAAGAGATGCCACGTAAAATCAGTGTTTTGCTCACATGGCAATTCATGTTCTTAGTGACAGATCTACTAATTCTGGCTCATGGACCATTAACAGAAAGGCCAAAAAAGCAGTAACAGAAAAAGCCATTTAAAAGTTATGAAAAAGCAGTTGATAGACCAAGTGTTATCATTCAAGAATACAGAGTAACTTTCTGTAGAAATCAACCAGAATTCAGTGTGTCAGACTAGTAAGGTTTCTTTCAGAAGATCACACAAATAGTCTTAGAGGAATGAATTCTATATGCATTACAACTTGACTTAGCATACCTAAAAAAAAACCCTGATAACAAAAGCACATTAAAAATACACACATATCAAAAAGACTTATTAAAACATCTAAGCAAGACACAGCAGGAAAAAAATGTGTTACATAGAAAATTGTCAGGGACAAAGATCTTGTAGAAGCTTGAAAAGTCGGAACATAATAAACACCAGCATCTAAAATATTGACATTTCCACGTTTAATTAAAAAAAAACCAAACACGACAACAAAAACAAAACACCAAACAAAAAACCCTCCCAAAACCAAACACCCCCAAACCAAACAAAAAATGCACAAAAAACCTCACACACACACACCCCAAAAACCCCAAAACCCCCAAAAGTCAAACCAAAACAAAACAAACAAAAAAAACCCCAACAAACCACCAAACAACATAATATTCCTCAGAAAGCATTAGAAGAGCAAGACAAAGTTAAGTTTGCCCAGCTCTCATGTAAGATTTATACAAGTAGATATATAAGATATATGGAAGGCAGATGTACACTGAGCAGTTCAACGCAAAAGGCTTTGGACAAACCTAGCAAGAAATATGTCCAAATTATGTTAATCAGGAATCAGGCAACTCAGAAACACTTAAGGTTTTATATTTCTCTGTTCTTACATATATCTCTCCCTGCTTTTTCTTTACAGTTGATTTCCTTGAGTTCATGTTATTTAAGCGGTCATTGCTTATATCTGTAGAAGTTATTAGTACAGACTGAAATTTTAACTTTGTAGTTTTTCTACTTCGAAAACAGTAAGCTCAAAAGACATGAATCTACAGAACTCCAGTTGACCACCACTGTATTAATTATACTTTGACTAACAGCCTAATCTTGATGTAGCACAACAAAGCCTAATTCCCAACTGCTTTACAGTTTTGGTAAAAAGCAAGTATCAAAATAAATATGCTGCACATAAGTGTGGAGAATCAGGCAGCTGCAGCCAAAGTTTTAAAAGGTAGTTAGGTAGGCCAAGCGCTAGCTATCTTAAATACAAGTCATGTGAGTGTTTTGAAAAACAAAACAAAAAGCCCGTATGTGCCACAATACTTGTATATGTACCAGAATAATCTGGCTCTGAAGCTAGTCAGAACCTACTATAGTGCTTGCAGGAGGGCATATCTGTTTAACAACCATTCTCCTTCCCAAGGTCAAAATGATGCAGAACCCAAGTGCTGAAAAAAAATGGGGTGATAGGGAATACTTCATTCCAGGTATGAATTTAGATAAATGAAAAGCATGTTCCAGGATTAAAACACTGTGCTCTTCTCCCAGACCATTAATTTAAAACAAAAAGTGCCTCCAGTGAGTTGACAGTAAGCGAGCTCTTGAAGCAGTGTAAACACAAACTGTGTATTTACCTTTCAACATCATGGAGTATAACTTGCTCATCATTGCCTATAAAGAGAAATACAAACACTTAACATCATGTTCCAGTGGTTGAAAAGCATTATAGTGAAAAAAAAAAAACCAAACAATAAATGTTTATTTTTTTATTTTCTATTTCAAAAACAAAACCAAAGCAGAGAGAAGACCAGTTCAGTTGCCAAGTGGTCAGCCCTCTGCTCAGTTATGTCAAAGGCTCCATGTGACATTTCCAGTCATGATTGAATACACCAATCCATTCCATCTGCTACTGCTCAACAAATAATTCTACTTAACTGTGTTACTGATCATTGTTCAGTTTGAGCTTGAGTTTTGGGACATTTGCAGTAAGGAGAAGAATATTATATGAAGCAGCAGAACACCTTTAACTCTCATGTGAGTACACCTTTCTTCCTTCTCAGAGGATGCTCCATAAAAAGATAAGGGAAGGTGAAAAGATGCTCCCAGCTCAAATGCCACCAGTTCACGCTGTCAGCATTCACGGTTTTGCAACCATTGAGAAGGCACAAACATGACAGCCAGTGTAATTTCTTTTGTATTAACAAAAACCAAACCAAGTAACCAGACAATCATATCACTTTTCTTTGATCACATCCATTGAATACAATGGAAACTAACCACGTGCATGCAGACTAAGAGGGTCACAGCTACAAAGTAATTGCACTGTCTCATGCAGTGTTTTTCAAGCTATAGCAACAGAATATTTTTTAGTCTCTGCACTGAATATTAATTTATCTAATTTGGCACCTCCTCTTTAGAAATATTTAAGACGACACACATTTATATTTAATTCAGAAGAAAAAAACCAGAAATCCCACAAAGCCATATTTTTATGCTCAGTATGTCTTTCTAGTTGCGATATCAAGTTGTGAAGCTTTCCTAATGTACACCAAAGCCAGAGGTTCGGAAAGAGCAAAATTTCATGTTATGATTCTTAAGTGTCCAGCTGACTCAGTTTTCATTTATCCCATACACATTTCAATTTGTATTCTGTCCCAACAGAAGAAATATGAGAAAGTTTCTCTTTGACTAATGAGGTGTGAGATTTTTCTACATCCACTTGCTCTTTGCACAGGCTCCTAGTTAAATCGTGCCAGCCTCAGATTACTGCAGTAGCTCATCTTTTCCATGGTACAATAAACAAGTCACTTATGTGTAAGTGTCCTTTGATCGTTAATTGCAATGGAAACTGCCCATTATACATTACAGGCAAGGTTTATACCTAGTAAAACTACTCTAGTGCCTATGTATTTCACCAGTGAAAAATGTAGCCTAGTTTCTCCAGTGACAAAATTTCTTCCAGCAGACACTCCTGCTCCTCGCTCTCCATACAGTATGAACACGAGAATCATTCTAGATGCCTGGCTTCAGGCCTCTAGTCATCATGGGATCAGCCTTCCTTTCCATCACAAGCTCCAAAATGGGAAAGAAAGCACAAAAGGGGGGGGTGCGTGGAATAACCACTGCTTCTCTCTGTTTTGTGTGTGGCAGAAGAAGGTGGTGACAAAAATCTAACCAAAACCTGCTTGGTTGCTTCTGGTAAAGATCCATCTCTCCAGAAAATGTCGCTGCTGTTCAGCCCAGTAGGGTTTCCACTTAACGTGTTTTACTTTAACCCAGGAGAGTTCATTCTTCATTGAGAATAACTGGGTTGTAATTGTATACGCAACTCTCCCATTTATAATCTCTCGTTTTGATAACTGCAGTTACAACGGTCAGAAAGACAAGAAGTATCTGCCATTCCCTTCAATTATACCTGTGAGGATGAAATACTGCAGAGCACATACAGAGAAGCACAGTTAAGGTGACTTAAACCCCATATCTGTCACATCAGGCCTCTACAGAAACAAATTCAGTTCCCTGTAGGTTTATTTCAGCTTTTCATATACCTAACATTAAAGGCAAAAAAAAAAAAGTAAGTCCATGCAGTTTACTAAGAGGGGATCTTTCATTTCAAATGCTGCTCTACTCTCTGTGTGCATGGACACAGAAGGTCAACAGTGTTCTTCAGGGATGGGAACTTCTTTGGTGTCTTGAGACAGTTTTTTCTCCAGAGATTACACGCAAAACACTGTCCACTCAGTTCCTGCCTTCCATTTTTGTAATGGCTACATGTGGTGCATGTTACACATGCGCTCCTTCAAAGCAAAGAGCTCTGAAATTCCTTGGATGCAATTCAATTTGTACTGAAGTGGAAAATGCTTTCTCCTCTGCTATCAAGAGCTGCTTTAGGGAAAGGTCGTCAGATCCTAAGTCATTAGTCTTTGGCAGCTTTATTTACAGAATGAATTGAGTTCTGTGCACCCTGTGCTAGCTTCCATACTGTAATTTTTAGGGTTTTTTTTCAAGTATTCCGATTTCCATGATTTGAATACAACTCCAACTTCAGTATCGGGGAAGGGGGATGATAACCAATAGGACTTAGGACCCACAATTCTTTCAGACCTTTTAAGAATCTCCCATAACATTGTTGAGTGAATAAATATAGTTAGCCCCATTTTGCTGACAGAGATAAAACAGATGGTACATCTAGGCCATGCAGCAAAATGACTCTTTACAAGGGATCCAAGAGTCAGCCTCACAGCCCTTGCAGATGAGCTCTGTGAATCTTGGTGGAGCAGCTGAAAGAGTTCCTGACTCCTCCAATGGAAATAATTTCTGGCAGAGGCACAGTGTGTTTATGCAAACTGGAGGAGGAAAAAGAGATGAGAACGGCCAGTTTGTCTGTGCATCAGCTGTCACAGCTCATCTAACCTGGCATCTTAGTAAAAATCCACCACAATCAATGATGTAAATCTTTAACCGCAGGTGTTAACTGCAGTGGCAAGGTACAGTCAAACCACTCTGCTGCCCTTCCTGTGAAAACAGTAGCCTCTGCTAGCAGGGCCCAATGGACAGAGGGTTGAGTTGGAAATGAGAAAATACCATTACAGCTGCTCCAGCAAGACTTGGCACGGTTCATTTCTTGAATATTCATGTAAGGTTCCATTTGTCTGAATTCAAACTAAAGTAAAACAGACTCCAGCCCAAAATTTCATTGGGATCACTCATGCAGATACATTCATTTGAAGACAGTGTGGACTGCTGTCTTTCTCATAAAACAAGCAGAAGTCCCCAGAATCAGAAGTTAGGCATCAGTCAGTATTCGACATTTTTGGGGTTTTCTCCACATGAGAAGTATAGCTGAATCATTTAATCCTTAAAATTTGACACCATCTTAAGCTTTGCCATGCCTTTTTTTCTAAGGGTTGTTATAGTTTTAACGCAGCGTTGAAGGATAGGAAGCTTTCACCACTCACATGCGCTCAGAATCAATTTATAGCATTGATTTGCAGTTCACAAATCTTAGTTCAAAAAGGTAATGAAGAGTTCTGACCAAGTAGTCTCATAATTTCCTAAAATAAGTCTAGCTCTATGTTAATGGACATCCTGATGAAACATACAAATTCCTGTCCACTCTATTATCATGTCAGATAGAGGAAATGAAGTACAGCAGAAAATGACACTGCATTTTGACAATCTTGTGCCTTTTTCTTCTGAATTCCATTTTCCTCCCTGCCTCAACACTTCAAAAATCAAGTGGTGAAATGCACCTAAATTCTAGGGATTATTAACCCAGAACAAGTACATGTCCACTTTCCTTATATTAGTTTTAAGACTGAATTAAACTTTCTGTTAAAACGGGGATTTATATTAAAAAAGTTGAAGAATATCAAGGCCAATTAGAGCCCAATGTTCCAACAGTTCTAAAAGGCAGACATTTATCTCGTGAGGACTGAAATGAGGTCTGAGAAGAAGTGATCCACCAATAGATGGCAATAGCCCTTCATTAGCCATCTAAGGGTACATTAAAATCAGCTAATAGCAGCAGAGATTTTAAAGCACCAGCCTTGAGTGCCAGAGAGGATGCAGGGTCTGCTCTCAGTACAGCTAAGAGGGAATAACGAAGACCACATTCCACAGTCTCTAGCACAAGTAGGGGCAGACTGGACTCAGGATTCTCATGATAGCTCAAGACATGATGTGCTTACACTAGGGTCTGGGAAAAGGAGAAGCATGACAAAACTGAAAATGTTGTGCTAGCTAAAGAACTCTCTGTTCCCAAAGAACCTTCAGCTGCTGATTAAGGACACCTTTCAGATCCTTAGGGGACTACAGAAAAGACCCTTCATGTGGGGCAGGATCTCGCTTATGACTTCTACTCTAAGGCATTCACAATGCAAACTCCTGTGAAATCAGGGTGCTCTTCCTTCCTTACCTCCAGAGAACACTTTCGTATTGCCACTGTTGAAAGCTAGGCAGAAGATATTAGAGTGATGCTCCCCTTTCAGCTGAACTGGTTTAACTCTTGAGTGGATGGCTTCTTCCATATGCCAAAGTAAGACCCGGCGGTCATCCCCTCCTAGAAGAAAGGAAATGTGCATTACTGCCCAAGCCATATGTAAACTGATGACAGACAAGTTATTTAACTCTGCAGTTATTCATAAAAGGCTTTGCTGAAACCGCAATTAGCATAAAAAAATTTTATACCTCTCAAGGGTTTGGATATATAGACATGCATTTACATTAAGATGCCATGCAGTCAGGTATTCAATTAATATTAATGAAAACAGAGGAATCAGAGGAAAAGTTTGGATTAAACAGCTGCCGTTCTGCCAACACATAGTGACAACCTATAGCAACCTGGAGACTCAGAATTTTACTGGTATGTAAAATTCTGTAGCAAGCTGCAGACGAATTACATGCCAAATTAACATATGCATGTTGGCAAAATGCTTCTACACCAACTCCTTGTTGCCAGCATCGCTTATGTTATTCGTGAAAAAGGAACTTTTTTCCCCTTTCACTGACAACTCTATCTCCTCTAGCAGTCTTTGCAAAGCCTTCATAGCATAGGTTGGCTACAGGGCTGACATGTGGCCATAAAAAGATTTTACTGAAGCATTCAGAAGTCTTCAGCATGCACAGTTATGTCATGCTTCTAGATCTGTAAAGGTTAAGACAGACATTTCTGAGATGAAATCCTGACAAAGAGAATAACTGGGGAAAAGAAGTTCAACTCTCCCTTGCTTTACAGCTTGCTGTACTTCTAATTGCTTGCCTAGGTGCAGTTCTCAGTTCAGAGCTCTATGCACACATACAAGGGCCTCTCTCTCTGTCTGGTAAACAGTCAGATATAAAATAAATATTAGACACTGTTCACGCTTTAATTGCATTTAACTATTGTTTATTAGGAAGAGAAAAAAATTCAAGATACTATTGTATTGGGCAGCACTCTCAACATCAATTCTGGATGCCTGTAGAAATCTGAATAAAGCTTCTTCAAGTCAGACTCAAAATATTTTTGTACCTGTCTTCAATAACAAATGAAAGAGAATGGCATCACAAGTCAAAAGTGCCACTAGAAACATGCTGATTTCAGTTAAAACATTTTACTGCTTCTTTGCACAATCAAAAGCATAAACTCGGCGCCTTCTGAGCTGCTATCCAGAAGGAAAAAGGCATGAAACAGAGACAAAAGGAAACTGAAATTAATTGGTCTGCAGTTTACTTCAAGAAGAGGTAAATGCATAAATGGAATTAATGGCTAGTGTTAATCAGATTTCTTAAAACTTTTCACATCATATGATGCTATTAAGAAGTTTTCCCATGGAACTGAGTTATGTCAAACATCCTTTAAGTTAACAGTCTAAGCCTTTAAGTCTCCTAACAGATTTTATGACAATCACTTTGATAGACAGTACTGCTGCATTTTAAGCTTACCCATGCTCCATGAAATTTATTGTGTATTCCTCCTCCTGATTTTGTACTTTACAGAGCAAACAAGTACTACACAATAAAAAGATTTGTGATGCATTTGATAACTACTGGGAATAAGAGTCAAATGTGATGGGTCCAGAAAAACTCACAGTAATTTGTGGTCAACTGAAGTGATGGGAGCTTAGATTCCTTTCTGTCTAGAAATAGGAGAGAAAGTTGTATTTGCACCCTAGTGATTGCAGATGAGCTAGTAATAAGGAGACACAGAAATACATGACTGCTGAAACATATGACCACACTAGTCACGCTAAAATCAAGAAGTGATGGTCACACTTGAAGTGGTTACTTTCCAAAGCTGCCAACAGCCAGGTCTTAATGTTATCACTACCTGGCAAACAATATAAGCAACATTTAAGGCTGGCAAACACCAGCATTGCTTCTATCAGGCTACATTTATTGTCTTTCAAGACTTCTGTAAAAGATGTTTCAGGGCAAAACATAATAACATACTGTTGTTAATTGTTACCATAGCAAGCCAATTTGCAAAACCACTGCAGTACGTCTACACATCCTCCTACCTGATAGCACAGCCATCTAGGTGTCTCACTTTAACAGCAAACTCCTATTCATTTCCACTACCCACCTAGTCCAGATACGAACAAAAATAATGAAGATATCCAAAGACAACAAGCATTACTGTGGTTTCCAGCACACATACAGTATGGTAAGGGACAAATTGCAACCTTTGCAGAAAAATCTTTGACAGTGTTAAAAGTTGCCACTACCGTCTTTTTCGTAAGTTCCTAGACCTTAGTGCCTGTTTCCTCTGCCTCCAGCTTAGAAACAACTCTTCCTACTGAATCCAAATGTCTCTCTCTTCCCAGACACCTAGATCTCCATGAGACTTTGGTACAAAGGGCCCCACTTTTGAGTATCCAACACTACAGCGGTCTGAGAACTGCTTGCCTTGGTGGTGGCACATGTTCCACAGTTTAGGAGTTTTTAAATGCTCCCCACACTCATGCAATTCTGTCCTTTCTCCATCTGTGTATTGTCTTGCACATACTTGTCTTTGAGAACTTCTACACCCCTGTTTCATGCCTCAGTTTTATTCCTCTCATACCCAGCTGAGACAGAAAAGTTTAATAAAATGATAATGTTAACTGGGTTGGAAGTGTGTTCCCTTCTAACTCCAATTCAGCTATTCCAGAAATATTTCTGACTTCAGGCCAGTTCCACCAGAAAGAAAAAGCCTTACCAATGTGTCCAGTCACAGATGAGGATTTGTGGCAGTAAGGCATTTTACTAGTCTCCACATCCTCATACAAGAGGACAAGAAGTGTTAAGTCACAGGCAAATATACCCAAGAAAAGGCAAGTCTTCTGTGACTGAAACCAGGAGAGGTGCAAACCAGCAAACGCAATCTCCACTACCAAAACCTGACTCTTAGAATAAGAGGGAAGAAAGGAAGGAGGCACACGTGTAGAGACAGGTATACAGGGAGACAGCAAAGAAAATGTGAATATATAGAGATTTTTATGCTCTGTGAAAAGGAACCATGATTCATCAGACATAAACTGTATGCACATTATGCAACATAAGTTACAAGTCTGAGAACTATAGGAAACTCCAGGCCTACAGCATTTGTTCTGTACAGTTGATCAGTGAATGCAGATTAATTAAGATGCTTTCAATTTACAGTGGATTTATTGTGCACATACACCAATTCTACAACATGTGAAGCAGGAGCCACTCAACACTTTTCTAAAAGCACTGGACCTATTGCACAAACTTGTGATAACTCCGCAATGCTCCCCAAAAGAGAGTAACTGTGCATGGCAAGGGCATGTTCTTGACATGATACAGAGCATAAACCAACAGCAACAGGTTTACTACACACCTGGGAAACCTGGATAATGTGGCCTCATATGAAAATACCTTAGCCACCAGGGCTCCACATGTGGATTTTCTAGGAATTGAAGCCCCACATAAAGTCTTGAATTTGTAATTTTTCAGTTCATAGTGTCAGAAGTAGTAAGTTTGACATCTACAAAGTGGAAATAGCTTCACTTCCATCTTAGTTTGCTGATTCTGTTTAGGACTGCATGACTGACAACTAGAAAAGTAAGGGACCCAGCTAAGAATCATACAATGCCATTCTACAGTTACTTTTCAGAAAGGAACCACATTTTAAAAGATGTAATTAGTCAAGTACTTCAGTGTTCATTATGGGTCAAACCTGCTTCCACATTCAAAACCAAAGTCAGACAGGAAGCAATGTCAGACCAAAGAAGTATTTGTGGTCAGAGAGGCTGGAAATTTTATCACCTTCCCATATTACTCTTGATGTAGAGAAGAACAGTATTCCAATTTCTTTTACAAGCACACATGAATGAAAAATACATAAACACACATGTTTCTTCTCCTGCCCCAAGTCACTGGAACATTTTGTTAATGCTTTGGGCCCTCGGACTAACGTTGATGAGAGACATAGGCAGGATTAAGGAATTCTACCCAGAAGATACGTAACAGAACATACCTAAAAAAGAAAGCTTGCATTTCAAATCTTGGGATAGTTATTCTGAAATAGATTCTTAAGTAGACAAACACTTTGTGTTCATCCTTGACAATCTTCTAGTTGCTGTTGACCCAAAGTGGACCACCCAGAAGAATTAAAAGTGCCTTCTCTTCTTCACGGTTTGCCTGCTTCAGAATGGTTTGTGCATGCTGCACACCCCAAGATTCATGGGGGAGGGGGGGGAAGGGCTCCCCCCAAAAGTTCTTTCTTTTGTTTTGGCTTTTTTTTTTTTAAAGTAGCACAGACAAATGCTATAGGTAGAATATGCCTATTCTAGATAACTGAACAGGTCCCAAATGACTCAGCATGGCATTATTTCAGCACGAACACTGCTTCCACAGTTCCTAAACCAAAGCATTCTAGTTTTGCCCTGCTTTTGGACTAGTTCTTTCCCAAAAAGTTTCCTGATCTCGTTAGCTTCTAAATAGGTAATCACTAAATTTATAAAGAATTAAATTCGGAAGAGTCTACCTCACAACCTGTAGTCCAGGACTGTTATTAGTCCTAAAATGTTTCGAAGGGGGCCAGAACATACCCTTGCCAAAAGCAAATCTAGTCTAAATCTAAATCAGTTTCTGCATAGCTCATGAAACACACTTGAGCTCTTGTATGCTAACAGAAGCACTTCAAAATCACACCAGTCAGGACTTAAAAACTGCAGTTTTAAAGTGCATTAACCTTGCTGATTGTGGACAAAGCTTAAGACCACTACTCCTCTGTCTCCCATATACCAGGTCCAGTCACTGAAGAAGCTACATGGCAAGTGGGCAACACTTCTAAATCATAGCATAAAAGATTACTCTTATTGCTTGTATCTTACTCAAGAAGTTGCACGAATCACAGAAAGTGGGATTGGACAGTATTTCAAGAAGTTGATCACTTAGTTGACTCCGGCCATGGGCAAAAGGCCAGACTGTGTCAGAATTATTCCCAATAGATGTGTGTCTAGTTTGTTCTTAAAAAACCACCACTGAGGCAGATTTCACACCCTCCTTAGGCAGCCTATTTGAGTGCTTCATTATGCTTGCCATTAGGCAGATTATCCCAATATCTAGCCTGC